TTTTTATTTTGCTTGTGTTTTCTCTAGAGCGTTCTTGTCAGACAGAGCGTTCTTGTCAGACAGAGCGTTCTTGTCAGACAGACAGCGAAACTATTATTATAGACTAGATAAATGGCCCGTTGAGGAAGGGTACAACGGGCGCTAGGCTGATAGTGCTGTCTCTTTTCTCTAAACTAAAACCATCTAGAATCGAGTTTTTAGAAATATTCGATATAGATATTCTAGTGCAGTCGTATTATGTTTCAACTAGAAAATTACCGCCATTATGACAATCTTAAAGCCGAAATCGATCGCTCGATTCTAATGAGTTTATCTCGCGAACATGTCCTGTATGGTGCTTTCACATTTTAAATAAGTTTATGTATTAAACACATTATAAGTGTCTCGCCATTAGTTTTAAGTGTCCATTAAATAAACCAATACTATAATAGTAACAGTTTTATGGCATTTACTACTTCTGTTTTCAAGTTATCATACATGTCAAATCCCCGAGCTAGCGCTTCGGCCTTGACAACGCCATGGTGTCGGTTTAGCACCGCATTACCTATTTCCGATAAAATACGCGCACTAATGCCAATGGCGTAGTTTTCGAAGTTGGAAAGAATTTAAATTGTGGGTGGCACTGTTAAAACTAGATAAAATACATTGATCAAGTTATCTATTAAAAACGACAGGCAAGAAGCTTAGGCTTACATTAACTAATGTCAAGCATTTCACACATATCTTACTTAGATTTAAGGCTGATAGCCTTATACTTAATACTATTATACTTTATACTATAAATAAGTTATAGGCCTATTTCTTAGTATAACTAATGCTATATACTATATGTATCGATTGATAAAATAAGTCTGGGCCTATTATTGGTTACTAGGCATGCTGCCCAGCTTCACTTAGGCTTTCGAAAACATTGAGAATTTGAATGCTTAATTAATTCGCCCAAATAAGGCGCCAATCAGTCGAGGTCAGTTTTGACCCCCTCATCGTAGACTTTTCGGCCAACCGGCACCCGTGTTCTGTCGCCCCAAGGCAAGATCCTGCCAAATTTGATGCGCCTGCGGCGCCGGGGAGTGCCCTATCGGGCACCCGACAACTTAGCTTTATATATTACTAGAATACCCGTCATCCGTTGGATAACTGTGGGTTTCGGGGGTCATCCATCAAAAAACATCACGTCTGTCACTCAGAGGCATAGCGGGGACAAACTTTTCGATTTGAACCCCCCCCCCCTCAAACTTTTGATGTGCACCCCCCCCCCCCCCACTCAAACTTTCTATTTGAACCCCCTCAACCTTTCAATTCATTTTTCCAAACCATTTTGGCGCCCCAACATATGTCCCCTCCGCCCCCCCCTTCCCCCCGCCTCCCCTCCCCTATCGTCCCCCCCCCCCCTCCTCGGTACGCTACTGCAGTGTCACTTATCGTCACATTCAAAAATATGTTTTTTATCTTTTGAAAACACCGAAAACACCGATTTCGGACTATCCCTTCATATACTGACGTCACATGTGACCTAATCAACTCTACTTCACCTGCCCAGTGTCCCGTCAAGTCTCAGACAACATGTATTTATCGTTTAAAAAACGATTCCAGCCGAGCATGTCTCTGACCACACTATCCTTTCATATGCTTAGGACAAAGAAACAGATGAACCCTACTTCACCTGCCCTGTGCCCCGCGAGGTCCTGATAGTCAACCTTATCATTCACATATAGGGCTTAAGAAAAAATAATTGAAAACGTAAAAAAAAAGTTCTATTAATTTTTATGACACTGACTTTAAAATTTAGCCTTCATTCTCCAAAGCAAATTTTAAAATGCTTTTCTGGCATATCTAGCCCTGGCCACCTATACCATGTTTAAATAATGTGAACACCCGCCATTTTGCTCGTGGTAAACATGGCCTAAAAATGGTCGGAAGTCATGCGTCCGGTCCGGACGCCATATTGTTGTTAGCAGCCGACCACGCCTCCAAGTTAGTGAGTAATCCTACTATATCTAGATATAGAACCTAGATTAAAAAAATCCCATGTATTCTCGAATTAGATGATCATTGAAGCTAAACAAAGATTTATATAAAATAATTAAGGCCTGAAATAGATTCTAGATGTAGAATTTACATTAAGTCTAGATCTAGAATTTACATTGAGTCTAGAGTGACCTAGATCTAGGCTAGATCTAGATCTAGATCTAGAATCTAGGCTAGATTCATAACTTTCCTTCGACAGCTGATCTTTAGATCTAGACTAATCTAGAGAAATTTATTGTAAAACTAAATGAAAAAAGACAGTTTAAAATTGATATAAGTGTTGGAACGTAATAAATACAGCAAACGGACGTATTGTTAAAGTTATGATCGACAGAAAATTAGATTTAGAACGCGTTAAACTTTTGAATGGGAACACAATTTTCTTCGATAGACGCCGCCATTTTATTGTACTAAAGAGTAAACAAAAAACTGTGACGTCACGGTCCCGCCGAGTGTAGTGGTCGTTCTAAACTTAAAAAAAAATAGGGTTACTCTACGTATGAATAAATCAATAAATTAATTAACGTCTTTAAATAAATGTGTGATTAACAGTCTGTCTGCATTAAAAAATTATTCTCTACCTACATACTATTTTACAGCTCTCCAGATAGAGTAGAACATATCACAATAGTCAATCAGGCAAACAAACAAATAAATATTCAAACATGTAAACAAACTTGACTTTTAGTAGTATATAGATAGATAGAGATTAGCAAATTGCATAGATAAACAAAGATTTCAATAAAGTAATTAAGGCCTGAAATACTTTAGTATGGAAATGTATTATTTGAATAGATTCTAGATCTAGGTAGGGTCTACATCTGTGTGTCTAGTTTTTCTGTAGATCTAGTTTAGGCAGAGATAATCGTATTGTATACATTTCATAGTGTACGTAGCTCTAAATCATATTTGAATGAAATAGTTCATTTCTTTTTATTCTAATCTCGGAAGATGACGTCATCAGTTTCGTGCTCTTTTTTTAGTGTAAATAATAAGCGACGTCATTGTTAATTGCATTCTATTCCCAAGTTTAAACACTTTTCCAGTTGGATAAATAAAATTGTTTTTCTACATTTGAATACGCCTTTATTTTTTATTTTTCTTCTTTAAATAAAATTGTGGTTATACATTTAAAACATCTAACATATTATTTTCAACAAAAGTCCGTATAATTTAAAGTTCTCGATATATCGTTGTAGATTCTGATGTGATGTCCGGCGAAAATATTTTGCGGACAGACAGAGAGACAATTTTTACATTCAATAATAAAAAGTAACAAAAAACAAATAACAACAAACAATACGAAATTAAATCACTGCATGTTGCCAATATATATATTCATGTAAGCAGATAGACAGGGAAGCTGTAACTTCTGATGTGGTACAACTTAACACTTAGCTTAATAAACTTTTACAAGAATTTAAGGTTTTTCTATTGATTAGTTGTACCAAAATATCAATAGGGCCTGATAAAGGCCCTAGTATATTAAAGTAGTTTCCCTTTTGGACCTGTCAATCCATCATCCATAAAGCAGCTGAAGTAGAGTTTATCTGTTTCTTGACAACTGCACATGAAGTGATGGTGTGGTCAGCTATCTGCTAAGCTATCTTTACTTTCCCTTGGGTCAGGTACTCATCTGACCCTGGTGGATGCTGCACGCTGCACAGACAGACTCATCTGAGATCTGAGCTTAAGACTTGCATGTTAGTAATTGAGTGCTTTACCACACCATCCATAGTTTTATTTTTCAGCATTCTTCTTATGACATGCTTCAGTGTCAATCACCAAATTTATCCTATCTATTATAGTAACATTCTGGACATACGTCTGTTGCAGTCACTATAATTACTATAAAAGGGTGCAACACCCTTTCATAGGACTTTTTAATTATATGCAGTCATACTTAATCTAATTTTTTTCTATATTTCTATTGCCCCCACCCTCTAGCAAAGTTTCAATTTTAATATAAAAAAAAACAACATAGACTTTCAGACTGCATATTGACCTATATAGAACAGCACCCCTTACTTTGATTTGACTTGATTAGTTCTAAGTATCCTCCATCAAATTTTGATTTTACTTTCATATTTCTATTGCCCACACTCTCTAGCACTAATGTGCAAAGTTTTATAATTATATCTCAAATAGCAGCAGTGGTATGCAAGCCTAAAGTCAATCACACAACTAAATCCGATGTTACAGTGATATATAACAAGTTTAATACATAACTTTAAAAATTCATTAAAAAAACTATTAGGCCTAGAATGATAAATTTGGTATTTTTAACAAAGGGGTATATTATAGGATTAATCTGTGTACATTTTATCATTCTATGATAATTTGGAAAACTATCCCAACATTCCAAAGTTTAAGGCTACATTTCTATTTATTTTCATCAAGCCTAAGTTATAACCCGATGTTTCTCTTTCGAAAAAAGCAGACAGGCAGGATTATTTAGAAGGGCTATGAGTTGATAAAGAAGAATTAATAATAATTAATAATATTAATAGGCCTATAATATAAATAAGTATATTTTGAATATTTTCGGATCTTTGTTATAAAATATTGTAAATCTATAAGTCTATTACCTACCTAAAAACCTATATTTACATATTTAAAGGTAGATTCTAATCTAATAATAAAAATAATAACTATCAATTATTTATAGGCCTATTATTAATATTATTAATTAACATTAATGCTTCTTTATCAACTCATAGCCCTTCTTCAAAATCTCATCAAGGCTTATTAATTTAAAATTAAAAAATGATTAAATAACAGGACTATTAATAATTAACTAGACATCCCTAGGATAAGTGTAGGTTTTAGGGGTCATCCATAACATTACGTCTTTCATTTATCATCATAAAATAACCAGACCCCACATTCAAAAAGACGTTTTTTATCTTTTAAAAACACCGATTTCTGCTAAGCATAGGTCTGACCACACTATCCCTTCATATATATCACAGGTGACCTGCTCAACTCTACTTCACCTGCCCAGTGTCACGCCAAGTCTCAGACAACATGTTTTTATTGTTTAAATAAAAACAATTCTGGTTGAGCATGTCTCTGACAACACTATGCCTTCATATGCTTAAGACAAAGAAACAGATGAACTCTACTTCATCTGCCCTGTATCCCGCCAAGTTCAGATAGTCAAATTTATCATTAACATCTAAAAAAAAAAATTATGAAGTATGAAAATTACATTTTTGAGTATTTTATCTCTAAACCATATGAGTTTGTGGGCATTAAACTTTCCATTGGTACTAAATTTATGAATCTAGCTTTATTAGGAGAAGAGGAATTTTTTTCTTCTATTTAATAAAGGTTGAACTAAAAGAGCAAGGGTCTAAGGTCTCTTAGATCTATATAAATTCTAAAAATAAATGAAGCAAGTGTAAAGTTAAGAAATAAATATTTAAACATTTTTATAAATGCAATCAATATATTTTCAAATACTATTTTTAATTTGGTTTTCTAATCAAGATCATTTTCATTTCAGTTTTTCCTGCAATAATTCATGAATCTTAAGCTATGGAAAACACAAAGGACACTACTGGTATAGTTTGGGAGAGTTCAATTATGGTTAAACAGGAATTGAGTGATGAAATCATAACATTTATGGACACGAAATCAGATGAAACATCAGCTATTTCAAGTTCAGAAGGAGTACAAACAAATATATCAACACTCTTTTCAAATTCTGAAGATATAAAGCAAAATGTATCAACACAATTTTCAACTGTTAAAGACAAATACTTGGAGGAAACAATGCAACTTTTCGGTTTAGAAGATAAAAATCATGATAAAACAAAGCCTTTGTTTAATTTAGAAGAGCTGAAGCAATATAAACCAACATTATTTTCATCTTCTGAAGACATGAAACCAAATCTATCAACAGCATTTTCAATTTTTGAAGATATAAAACCTGAGATATTAACAATTTCATCTTTGGAGAATGAACAACAAAATGGTTTCAAAGCACAGCAACAACTTCCTTCCCCACCAGATTTAAGTGATTTTAAAGAAAAGTTTGCTGTTTTAAAATCAGATCTTCAAAATGAATTAAAAGAACTCAAGTTATTGCATACAAAATTGATTGATAATCTCCCAACAGAATATCTGATTAGCAATAAGGGACTGAAGACATACAAGTGTGATATGTGTTGTCAAAGATTTTTCCATTTTGATCATGTTAAACAACACATAAACATTCACACAAGGGTGAATCCATATGGTCATGATTTTCATCAGCAAGAAGTTGTTATGATCAGTCAGGGTGAACAGATTAACAAAATAAACCTAGAACAGGTATACAATAAGTCTAGTTTGTCTAAAAAGTTCACTTCAGAGTCTAGTTTATCCATACACACAAATATTCATTCTGGAATTAATAAGCCATATGAATGCTATGTGTGTCATAAAAAATATCATATTAAAAATCATTTAGCAAACCATATAAAGATACATTTAGGAGAAAGACAATATAAATGTGGTGTGTGTCATAAAAAGTTTGCAAAGAAGAGTAATTTATCTAGACATAAAATAACTATCCATTCTAGTCTCAAGCCACATGAATGCGATGTTTGTCATAAAAGTTTTGCCCTTATTTCTAATTTATCTAGGCATAAAAATATTCATTTACCTGAGAGACCATATGAATGTGATGTGTGTCACAAAAAATTTAATCATAAAAGTGATTTATCAAAACATAAAAATATTCATTTACCAGAGAGACCATATGAATGTAATGTGTGTCACAAAAAATTTAATCATAAAAGTGATTTATCAAAACATAAAAATATTCATTTACCAGAGAGACCATATGAATGTGATGTGTGTCACAAAAAATTTAATTACAAAGGTAGTTTATCTAAACATAAAAATATTCATTTACCAGAGAAACCATATGAATGTGATGTGTGTTATAAAAAATTTAGTCAAAAAGGTTCTTTATCTACACATAAAAATATACATTTACCAGAGAGACCATATGAATGTGATAAGTGTCATAAAAAATTTAATTCTAAAGGTCATTTATCTACACATATAAATATTCATTTACCAGAGAGACCATATGAATGTGATGTGTGTCACAAAAAATTTAATTTTAAAGGTCATTTATCAGAGCATAAAAATATTCATTTACCAGAGAGACCATATAAATGTGATGTGTGTCACAAAAAATTTAATCATAAAGATGATTTTTCAAAACATAAAAATATTCATTTACCAGAGAGACCATATGAATGTGATGTGTGTCATAAAAAATTTAGTCAAAAAGGTTCTTTATCTACACATAAAAATATACATTTACCAGAGAGACCATATGAATGTGATATGTGTCATAAAAAATTTAATTCTAAAGGTCATTTATCTACACATAAATATTCATTTACCAGAGAGACCATATGAATGTGATGTGTGTAACAAAAAATTTAATTTTAAAGGTCATTTATCAGAGCATAAAAATATTCATTTACCAGAGAGACCATATGAATGTGATGTGTGTCACAAAAAATTTAATCATAAAGATGATTTTTCAAAACATAAAAATATTCATTTACCAGAGAGACCATATGAATGTGATGTGTGTCATAAAAAATTTAGTCAAAAAGGTTCTTTATCTACACATAAAAATATACATTTACCAGAGAGACCATACGAATGTGATGTGTGTCACAAAAAAATTTAATTTAAAGGTGATTTATCAAAGCATAAAAATATTCATTTACCAGAGAGACCATATGAATGTGATGTGTGTCACAAAAAATTTAATTTTAAAGGTAGTTTATCTAAACATAAAAATATTCATTTACCAGAGACCATATGAATGTGACATTTGTAATAAAAAGTTTGCTCGTAAGTCTAGTTTATCTACACACAAATTTTCACTCAGGACTTGAATGTGTTGTTGGTCATTAAATTCTCTTTCACAAGGATCTTCAATTATCTATATATAAAATTATTGCTTTTTTACTAATACCACATTGTGTAGGCTGAAAACACACCATTAATGTTTGTCATACAGGATATAATACTCTTCATAGTATTATTTGTCAAACAAAGTATTAGGAATGATTAATATGCTATCTAGACATTTCCTTTTGAAGATAAGTAAAATTAATGTATTATTCGTAACTAATGTTTTCAAATTGTGTGCATCTATGTTGTTAACATGAAATTTAAACAAAGTTAAAAAAGTTATTAAAAATGATTTAACATGATAATTTTTAAATATTCACACAAAGGAAGAAACACTTCATGGAAAGAATGAATGTCATGAATCACTATAGTACATTTATTATATTGTACTAGGTGTTTTTGGCTAGCTTTGTTCTGGTTTTTTGTAAAAAAAATGATGCCTAAATTCTTACCCATTACATTACTCATACAATAATACTAACCACTAATAAACACCAACATTTTAAATGTACAATTATGATTTGAATCATTGAAGTAATATTTACTCTGTATTTTTCTATATTGAATATATTCCATTTTATGTAATTCTAAATTTTGTATAAATAATTATATAACCCATTAAGTTAGTTATAATTATAATAATTGAAGTGAGCAACAAAATTTATTAATTAATGTAGCTGAAAATGATTAAATTTTTAAGACATAAGATACAATTTGTTAATATGATTGAATCAGCTGTTATGATATATAGATCTAGACCAATATATATATATATATATATATATATATATATATATATATATATATATATGTGACCTAGGCTAGTTGCATCTTTCCTGTTCGCAACGCCAAATGTGACCTTCCCCGAGTCTATCCTGCCCGACAACGCCAATTGTAACGAGTTGAACCACTCATGCTACACAACATCGACTACAGTAGAAAGACTCGAAGATGCAGGTTCGCTATTGATCCTTTTATTACATGAATCAAGAAATGCTTCAATATAACACAATGAATCAACAGAAATGTTTCACAATAATAGTCTGAATCAACTGACCCCCTAACAGTCCTCACTAGGCTTCATATAACTGAATCCACATGTCTAGTGTCCTTCTTAACACAATATAACCAACTTGAGTATGTCACACAGACTGACTGATCTAAAGCGAGCGATGAAGATGGAAGAGAGCTCGCAAACGGGAAGAGAAGAGCTCAGTCGTCCCCTCCTATTTATGCCTTGTATCCGTACTCGTCCCCGTACTTGTATTCCTCCGTAATCGATACTTGTACTCGATCTCCGACCACCAGTTGCGTAGTTCAAACGTACAGACCGTAAAATAACATCTGCGTCCTATCCATCAAAGTTGACAGGCCGTCTGAATACCGTTTCCCAAAATAGCACGCGTTGGCTTTGAGGTTGTTATCAGCCCGACCCAATAAGCCACCTGTTATCGGTTGCATCAGACCAACACCGCGTCTCGGCCTCTCGTTCGTTATCATTTGTAACTGGTAGTTAGGCCTACCCCAGTTACATCCACCCCTGCTTTTTTTGTGTGTTTTCAACCACAAACAACGCCTGGCAGGTGCACTCCTCCAAAGTCAATCGCACAGTCGTAAAAAAAAAATCTATTGTTCTACTCACTGTCCACGACGTTCCATTCGTATACGATTGACAGTTCTACCTATTTCACATATCAACTGTGTCTACATCATCTTCCTGAGACACAAAACAGTTCTAGAATTCACATCCACCCTTTCCATTTGGTGCCTTCACCAGTTCACTTCTATAGCTCTTTGAACAGTCTGTTTTCATACCAGCGCGACCATGAAAGAATTGATGGTTGCTGACAAAAAATTTCGTATTCCTTCTGTTCCTTAAACTTCTCCGCGGACCACTTATCTGATGGTCTACTGTCTCTCTGCTTCTGGAGGGACCGGGATCCTCATTGTTGCCGGTATCCTCCCCTTGCGTATCGCTGTTGTTCTGTTGATGGTGATATGGTTCCGGAATGGGTATGTGAATTTCCGTTATAACTTCCGGTTCCCTAATTGTCTTGGGTTTCTCTGTGTGTAACTGCTCTTCTTGCCTATTCCAATATTTCTTTAATTGAGCAATATTCGCCCACCGATCCGGTTTGGCGTGATCGATGGGTCTTATCTTAAAGGGGCCACCTGCTGCTTTAGGCATCTCCACGACTTGCCATATCTCCTGTCCCCAGAGATCGTGGATTTTGTTTCTGCCTAACGGGTGGCTACGCAGTAATACCCTGTCATTCAGTTTGAGTGGCGGATCCTTCGTCTGTATCGGCGGTTCCCTTCGCCGAGATTCATGTTCTAGTCTTTCCTGTACTACCCTGTACATTTCTCTAATTCTTCTCATATGTTCATTCACATATTCCAGTGCGGTGTATGAGCCAGTCATACTCTCCCTTTTTCCTAGGAACAAATCAAGAGGGAGTCGAGCCTCTCGTCCGAACAGCAACATGTATGGCGAAAAGCCGGTTGTGGCATGGGGTGTGCAGTTGTATAGATATACCAACTCTGGGAGAAAATCAGGCCAACGTTTTTTCTGTTCAGGTTCTAGCGTACGCAGCAAATCATGCATGCTGCGGTTGAACCGTTCACACTGTCTGTTTCCTTTCGGATTAAATGTGGTTGTTCTAGATTTGTTGATCCCGTAGTGGCTGCACAGTTGGTTAATTACTTCTGACTCGAAAGCCCTTCCTTGGTCAGAGTGTAATTGTCTTGGTATGCCATATCTGATGAACCAATGTTCTATTAAGACATTTGCCACTGTTTTGGCAGTCTGATCTCGCGTGGGCACCGCCACCGTCCATTTGGTGAATACATCAGTCATTACCAACACATGTTCCGTCCCATCCGATGATTGCTCCAACGACGTAAAGTCCATAGCCACAATCTCTAGTGGTTTTGTCGCTAGTAGGTGTCCTGATGGCTGTCTCATTTTGACAACTGGCATTTTCGCATGCTGACACCTCACACAAGCCTCACAATGGCGTTTGACCTCCATTTCCATATTGGGCCAGTAACACCTCCGTCGTAATATTTTGTGCGTCCTGTCCTGACCCTGGTGTCCTGCCCTGTCATGTGCCAACCTTAGCACTTCTCCTCGTAACTGTCCAGGCACCACCACCTGGTGTATTGTCCCATCAATTTGGTCATGAATTCTCCGCATGAGAACACCATCCTCTATACTGAGACGGTCCCACTGACTCAGTATTTTCTTTGTTTCTCGACCAAATTGTTCTCTTTCCCTTCTTCCTGGGAATTTTTGTTCCTGGACGTATTTCAATAGCGGTTGTAAGCCACTATCCGTTCTCTGGGCATCTCTTATCTTTTTGTGATTAAGGCAATTAAAATCACTACTGTCCATATGTTCGGGTTCCGTGGATATGTGCTCCACCCCGGTCTGCCCGTTCTGCATCACTTGTACCCCATGAGGGATATCTGTTGACGCTCTGACCTCACATATTCCTGTCAGTGTTTCTTCCTCATCACCCGGTCTCTCGTAAGGATTCCTTGATAAGGCGTCCGCATTGCCATTGGACCGCCCCGGGCGATACTTTATCTCTAGGTCAAAGAGTGCCAATTCTGCTGCCCATCGCTGTTCGATGGATCCCAACTTTGCTGTCTTTAGGTGGCTCAAGGGGTTATTGTCAGTGTATACCACACATTTAGCACCTAATAGATAGTCCCTGAATTTCTCCGTCACAGCCCATTTTAATGTCAAAAGTTCTAGTTTCATGGCGCTGTAATTTGTCATGTTCCTCTCTGATCCCTTCAGAGCTCGACTTGCATACGCAATAACCCTGAAACCTTGCTTTTGTTGTTGTGATAGCACAGCTCCCAGACCTTTAGAGCTGGCGTCAATTTCTAACCGAAATGGTTTATCAAAGTCCGCGTATCCCAATATCGGCGCCTCTGTCAAAGCCTTTTTCAATAGCTTAAACGAGTTCAGGCATTCATCAGTCCATAATTCACCTATCAGTTGTATTTTACCTTTCTTTTTCTCCTTACTGTGTTTCTTTGTCATTTTGTTTACCAAGTCATGCAATGGTGCGGCAATTTTTGCAAAACCCGACACAAATTTTCTATAATAGGAAGCAAAGCCCAAGAATGACCTGACCTCTACCGTAGTTGTTGGTTGTTTCCATTCTTTAACAGCTGCAATTTTATCTGGGTCAGTGGCGATGCCATCCGACGAAATCACGTAACCCAAAAAATGTACCGATTTCAAACCAAAGCAGCATTTGTCTGGGTTCAGCTTTACTCCTATCTCCCTAAGACGGAGAAACACTTGTTCTAATCTTTTTAGATGGTCCTCCCAAGTTTTTGAGTAAACTAGAATATCATCCAAATACACCAACATTATTTGAAATAGAAAGTCACTCATAGCACTCTGCATTACTCGCTGGAATGTAGCAGGTGCATTAGTTAGACCAAACGGCATACGGGTCCACTCGTACAGTCCCAGTGGAGAAATAAATGCAGTTTTATGTTGATCGTTGGGGTGCATGGCCACTTGGTGGTAGCCACTGGCCAAATCCAAGGTAGAAAAAAATCTTGCTCCCCCCAACGCATCAAGACATTCATCAATACGAGGCAAGGGGAATGCATCCCTTCTTGTGATATTGTTCAATTTCCGGTAATCACAACACAGTCTTATCTCCCCTGACTTCTTTTTTACCACTACAATCGGTGCCGCATACGGACTCGTACTGGTTGTAATAATTCCCTTTTTTAGTAGATCATTCAGGTGTGCTTTCACCGCCGAGTAGTGACTCGGTGGTAATCTTCGATAAGGTTGCGCCACCGGCTTGTCTTGTAGTAAGGGTATCTGGTGTTTTATTACTTCCGTGTACCCCAAATCACCCTCATACGAGGCAAATATATCACTGTATTTATTCAGCAATTCATTTAGTTTTGGGTCCTCAGTTTCCGGGAATGTATATGATCGGCCATCTTCTTTCTTCACCTCGGCCGTCACATTGACCGACCTAATTGTTACTTCATTACTGCTGGTATTGATCAGTTCGATGCACTGTGCCGACCTTTGTACCTCGACGTTCTGTGGTACTCCTACCAGAGTATTAGGCGGTATAAAAATTTCTTCATCCAAAACATTTGCTACCAACCCTTGAACTAGTCCGTTTTCCGCTGATGTGTATGTCCGCAGTAACACGACGCCTGCCCTCAGTGCGGCGCCACATGGTTCTATCATCACATCACCATTCACGCTTCTATCACCAATTTGTAATGTGATTGCCTTGACCGTGTTTGCCGGGACTGCTGTCCTTCCTCTGGTCTTGGCAAACCTGGCCAACCTGGATCCCCGACCTGGTGTGGTCGATCCGACAATATTTGTAAGAAATTCTGGCAACTGGCCAAGAATATTCATGCCCAACAGGCAAGGTATATTTGACACATTTGTCTCTAGGTTGTGTTTCGTAACGAACACCCCAACCTGCTTCAACCTATGTCCTGCCACCACGACATCCGCCAGAAAATAACCACAGTATGGAATGGTTAGTCCATTAGCTGCCGTCAGGCGCATGCATGTGTCAGACCTCAACCTATGGTCTTTTCCTTTCATCCATTTGGTGTAAAAATTTTCCGTGATTGTCGTCACCTGGGAGCCTGTATCCACAATTGC